GAGTTGAGACAGCAATAACTGGACATTTCAGATGGTAAAACTGCTCTAGGCAACTGTGTAGAGTTCTGATAGAAATACCTAGGTGGGTCTTTGCCTGGTAGGTAACACCAGAATGCAGATGCTTCTGAGGTAGTTTTACCATTCAGAAGTGAAATTTCTCATTTCTGCCATAAAAATTAATTCCTAAATAGTGTTATCTAAGGGGATCCTTGAGAGGGCATGCTGTTCACCTTTTAGGATTGCAGGTAACAGATCTGCTGTTTATATGATCCATTTGAGAGTACAGTAGACTATAATTCAAGGAAGATTGTGTCATCTTGCTGTATTTTATAAAGCATTTGCATAGAGGTCTCAGTTGTTTGGCAGACACCAACTGAGCTGCAGGGGTGAAAATATGTACTAAAGAAATCTCTACTAAGTAGTGGCAGAACTGGGTATTAACTCAAAATTTATCTGCAAGATGCAAGAAAAGGTGTGGGTCTCCTCTTGATAGTCTGGATTTCTGCTGTCCTGCTGTAAGCTCGGTTCCAGAATAGGGTGTTCTAGTGGTCGTTGAGAACAGCTGAACAATGTTCAAGACATCATGGAGTTATGAGAAGCTTCATTGCAGTGATTGTTGTCTTGGATGCTCTTTCTGTTTGCTGTTGACAGATGCTTTTTGTTATCAGAAGTAGCTGAGCATAAAGATCTGACAGGAATGATGGAAAGAGGCTTATCCTTATGGAAGAGTTCTCTTCATATGTGATCATATCAGTCAAGGGTCTATCATATAAGAACTCTTGCTGTAGTTCTCATTTTGTTTTTCTGTTTTGTTCTGTGCAACTCTGGGTGGAAGCACAAAGAGTGGTGCTTGTTGGAGCTTCAGTTGACACAAAAGGAAACCTTGCTGTTTTGCAAGGATTTATTGTCAGTTTCTGAAACTGCCCTGGTTTCTGCCTAAAGGGATGAAAATTACTTAGGATACTCGTGAAAAAGAAAAGGCCAACATTTTGATTGGTTTTTCCCAAATAAGAATTACTGGAAGCTGAACTGTTGGCCGAGGCTGTTTTTCAGCAGAAGCCAAAGAAAGTTACAGATCACTTGGTGCTTGTACTGGGCTTGTCAGTGCTTAAGTCTGGGATTTTCCAGTAAACCAGAAGCTTTCAGTCGGAGACCTTTTAATCTTCCCTTAGCAAGTAGGCTCCCTGTCACACTGCTTCTGTTTCAAACACAGAAATGTCATAATTGCCATTCTAAAAGATGCCTGTATCAAATATAAAGAGCTGTGGCAATCACATAAATTAAGCACAGTATATTTTTACTACCTTTTTGCATTTCTGAAAGTATACCTGGACTGTGTGGTCAATCTGCCTGTTTTAGGATTGTCCCAAAAATTGCCTAATGACATCTCCTGATATGGAATCACAGGATTATTAAGGTTGGAAAAGACCTCTCAAGATGAGCCCAATCTTTGACCAAACACCACCATGTCAACTAAACCACAGCACTCAGTGCCACATCCAGACAGTTCTTGAACACTTCCAGGGATGGTGGCTCCACCACCTCCCTCAGCAGTTCATTCCTGTGCCTGACCACCCTTTCAGTGAAGAAGTTCTAACTGATGTCCAGCCTGAATCTCCTTGGTATATCTTGAGGCCATTTCCTCTCATCCTGTCTCTAGTTGCCTGGGAGAGGAGACTGACCACTCCCCCCCCAGGAAACAATCTCCTTTTGGGGCATTGTAGGGAGCAATAAGGTCTCCCCTGAGCCTCCTTTTCTCCAGGCTTATACTCAAACACACCCATCTCCCTCAGCTGCCCCTCACAGGACTGACTTTCCAGACCCTCCCCAGCTCTGCTGTCCTTCTCTGGACACACTCTGGTGCCTCAATGACTATCTTGTAGTGAGGGACCCGTGAGAGTTGGGTTAAAACTACTTTTCTGTCCTAAGAGAATATTCCAGTATCTCTAGGCAGAATAACCTAATAGTTAATCAAGTATAAAAGGTAAAGTTCCTTAAGACTTCACCATCATGTCAAGCATTTGGTTTTTATAAACATTTGTTCTATTATGGTTCATCAAGATATTTTCAGAAACAAATCATCTTAGTAGAAAATTGAGGTCATTTTTCATAGAGCCTTTGAAAACTTGTGTTGAATACCTCTAAATTGAAGTATTTTAAGATACTTCTCATAGTGATCCTAGAGAAATGGCAGGAAGCTTCCCAGTCCTCTAGTTTACTAAATAAAGCTGTAGAGAAGCATTTCTGCTTCATCAGTGCTGCTTGTGCTAAAATCCGAGCTTGCTCCTTTCTGTCTGAAGCTTTTTCTCTGAACACAGAAAACAGTCTCTTCCTCTGGCCTTAGTTACACTATTTAAGCCTCATTTCACACTTCCTCTGAACATTGTAGGATTACTGCCCAGCCCTCAGCAATTAGAAACAACACATTTACATTTATTGTTGTTTTCTAATCCTTCCATAGCATTAAGTGGTTTCAAGTTTTTAAGCTGACACGGAAAATCAAAGCAATTTTTCTTTATCATCTCTCTGTTCTCTCTTGTCAGCCCAAAGCCATTATGCTGAAATGGGAATATAAAAGAAGTTAAAAAGAAGGGATATGGGCAAAAGGTCTCTGTGTACAAAAGATCTGAATCACAGCTGACACTCTAGTGTTAATTGCACTCGTACCATTTGCTCAATGGTTAGGAAGATGTTTGACAACTCAGCTGGATACAACATTTAATCCAGTTATTTATCTAAAAAAGTAGATGCATAGGAAATAAGAAAAAATAAAGAAAGTGGTTTCATGAAGACTATTCATATCTGAAAGCAAAAGAACTCCAAGCAAGAATCCATGTCTAGTCTTGCTAGTTTAGAAAGGGAAGAACCCATGTCATGTTTTCTCCTTTTTTTGTGAATGGAGTGAGTCACATGAGATAAAGAAGAAAATGAACTGAGTTTGTGGATTTTTTTTTTTCCTTTCTATGAGACAAATGAAAGGAAGAGGAGGACCTGAGCTACCAGGTTAGTGGAAGGTGTCCCAGCCCTTGGAATTAGATGATGTTTATGGTCCCTTCTAACACAAGCCTTTCTGTGATTCTATGAAAAGGCCTTTCCATGCAGAATAAGGGAAATAAAAAGTTTCATAGTCTTCAGTCAGACTGTTGGCATTATTGATAGAACATGAATGAAGTAGAGTAGGGAGTACTGAATTACACTGGGCAAGTTTACTTCCCATTGTACCTTGTACTTTTCAGACAGAGTATTAATTTTGAAGAGTTTGTGTATTGATAAAGTTGTGATATAGTTCCAGTATAAGTGGAAGGTTCCTTCCTTTCTCATGTTTGTTTTGCAGTTTGTGTGCTGTAAAATGAGTCAGTTTTTTGTTTAATGGAGATATTAGATCTATGAAATGAGACCACACAAACTCATTCTGACAGTATTGACAGATACAAGGTTGGAGCTCAGCTGCTTTAGACTTGATCACAGTCTTAAAATAAATGAGTGCTATGTGGAAGGATAGTGAACGTCAGTTTTCACTTCATTGTCAGAATAAAGAGCTTATTACTGGCTGCTGCAGAGAAAAAATACTTCTTATTCCAACTTTACCCTTATTCTGGGGTCCTCATCACCTGAGAAACCATAGAGAAAAGACTTTGTAGAGATAATTCTTTGTAGGTCTTCAAAGTGCAGTTGGTTAAGTTTTTGTTTAGGAAGCATTATACTGGCAATAAAAAATACTCATCCAGACTTCTTAGATATGCATTTGCACACACCAAAACTGTATTTTTTTTTGGCCTGGTTAGTTTGAGGAGTTTAAAATTTAAGGGGAAAAAAAAAAAAGAAACCCCAGCTGAAACACAAACAAACAACTCAAGCACAACAAAGTCTTATGTCAGTTCAGAAGTAATTGTGATGTGTTGCTTTGTTTATATAAATGCTTTACCTGCTAACTCATGTTAAGGCTATAAATTTTTTATTTTCACTCTGGTGTTTATTTTGTTAGCAATCAATCTAATGTTATGAACATTTTGTCAATATCAGTAATTACTTGCTAGTGATCATATATTAGTGATTTCCTTCTCACTCAGGAGGTGATTCTATGAAAAGGTCTTTCCTTGCAGAATAAATCCATTAAGGGAAATATCAAGTTTGAGTCTACTGATCTGGTAGCATCATTTCATAGAGTATTTTCCAAATATTGTCAGCCCTGAGTCTGGCTGTAGTTAGAAAGAAAAGAACTATTTAGGCACTTGCTTTTCATATCCTGTCTAAAAGACTGCACGTAACTAGAGTTGCATGAAATACGAAAGCATAATGGAATTATGTGTAATAAGGGTTGTTCTTCATTTTCCATTCAGGGGTCTTAACACAAATATAAAAACCTTCATTATGAAATGGAGGCATGTGTTAGGCCATGATTATGTTATTCATCCACACTTTTGGGTCCCAACAATACAGATTTCAGCTTTTAACATAGTTCCTATTGTCATTTCTTCCTGTTAAAGCGATAGCCTTTATATTTGTGTTCTTCTGTCTTGTTTTGAAGACACTGGAACTTGTGCACACACAGCAGCTGTATAACCCTCCAATCACCAAATAGTTTGCCCTTTATTGCGTTCTCATCAGTGAATTTGAAGATATAAAAGTGAAATACTAGGTAGCAGTAGGCAATTAAAAGGAATTTGCAAGACTAATTGGTTCAGTGCCTACATCTCTATTTTTTTCATTAACACTTGTAAGATTTTTAACCTCCCCGATTATAATTTTAAATGGAAAACTTCCACATACATATTTACAATGTGGCCGAGTAGCCAAGTGACAAAAAATAATTCCTAAATTAAATATAGTTTCTAATTAATAAACAGGCAGTACCTCAGTTGTCACTGTCACATGGATACTTACCTTTCTTAGGGCATGCCTTATATCCTTCAAGCTTTCTATTGAGATTCAGAATGTCTAATAAGTATTTCTTGTCATGTTTTCTTTCTTGCTCTCTCCACGCCCCTCCTGCCCTGCAGTGGAGCAGATTACTACGACTATGGCCACGGGCTGAGTGAAGACACCTACGACTCCTACGGTGAGTGGCTGTGTGAGCTCAATCCCTGCACAGCAGACTCTGGGGGGGAAAAAAAAAACCTTAATGAAAGGATAATTTCTGTCAGGCAAGGCTTAGTCCTGCAGCAGGTAATGGCTGCTCAGGGATTCCTGAGATGTCACAGAGCTCCTCGTGTGCTTATTGAGAAAAATGCCCTCTGTGGTCCATTAGCTAACGCAGTCATGGGAAACTAAAACCACAGAAGTAGAGAAAATAAAACCTAAATCATGATGCACGCAGCCTTTTCCTGTCACATTCAATGACATTTAAGAAAAAAAATGTGGGTGGAGGACCTTTTTCCAGGAACTTCTGGCTGCCAAAAGCAAATGCTTCTGGTGTGGCACAGCTTGCATGGAGACTTGGTACAAGGTAGGAATCTGCGGAAGCTCCCAGCTGAATTAGGACCTAATTGAGTGTGTTTTAGCCTTGTATGGTCCTTTTGTTTTAGTTCATTTTCATGTATCAGTCTTGGGAAATCAAGCAGGGAGTCATTATGTAAAGGTTAGGAAAGTACTTTAGGTAGCTAATAGACATGAGGGCAGCAGGTTACTCTGTATAGAGACAAAACAATGTGTAATGAAGCAAAAAAAATGCCAGTTGTAAAGATCACTTTTTTCTTTTTTTTTTTAATATAGAAGTCTGGTAGTGACAGGTTTAATTAAAGAAATCTGTTATGGGTTAGAAGCATAAAGCATTTTAAAAGGCACCTTTTCTTAAGGGTAAATGTTAAGTCTCTGGATAGAGATCAGAGAAATACAATCTAGGTGTCTCAAATCTCAAACAAGTGAGGGTTTTTAGTAACCTCTGTAAAAGTTGTGATTCTGAGTACTGAATGCTTCAATAACTTTAGACATCTACTTGAAATTTTCTGTTTTAACTCCATGTGGATGTGCTTTCTGCTTGAAACTAAAATGACCTTAAGTTGTGATAAATGCACCTAATGCAGTAGTTTGCTCAATCTATCTGCTTAAACTAATTATTTGGCTTAAGGAGAAAGATAGTTCATCAAAAGAAGAGGTTACTTGAAATTCCTTTGTCCTCCAGCACTTTCAGTTGGTGTTGATAGATAAATAGCTTAAATCTTTATTTCAACATTAAAATAAACTGTTTGCCATTATAAACCTGATATTTCTAAGACTATTTAATTAATGCAAAATTGATGGGGAAAAATATATGAAACTGCTTAATGTAGATAGACTGACAGGGAGAGATATTGATTGCAGTATTTAAGGTTGAAAATATGGATTTTTCACTGCTTTTGCATTTAAAATTGGTTTTCTATTTATCAAAGCACAGCCACTCAGAATATTAAGTGATGTATTTATTCAAGTTGAGAGAAAGACTATAAATACCTTGAAGAATGATTGTGGGTTGCAGCCACTGTAGTTTTTGCACATATAAATAGACATTTTATTTCTTAAGTATATAACTTAAAAGCACAGAGATTAATTAACATCTTCACTATATGTAAAGAACATTAGATGCCTCAAAGTAAGTAACAGTGCCTAGTGAGCAGGTAGATGTCTAGTGCTGGCCAAGAGGAGGTTCAGATTCTCAGGAGGTATCTGAACTTTTCCTCGGAGACACTCAAGTGACAATTGAAATGATGTAGGAAGAATATCAGTGTTTTTAGGATTTGGAGCCCTGAACAGCACCAAAATGAAAACTGAGAAATAGTAAGATAACTCTTTACCCTGCTGGTTTGATCAACAACTTGAAAAAGAGCAAGTATTACCCTTAGACTGTAACCAGGATTTCTATTTTAATTTAAACAGTTCTTGCAGCAGTGTTTAAAACCTAGGATATTTTTAATTCCTACTCCTCAGTCAGCTGAGGAGCCACACTGAGGCTCAGGGCCTTTTTCTTTTTTCAATGTAAGTCTTGCTTTCTGTGATGAAGAAGCATAAAAGATTGTTACCAGATACCCATGGAAATTGCCTGAGGTGAAAGTTTAATTCTTTCAGCCTTACACCAAATTTGAACTTGTTCCTTTTACCTTCTAGGCAAATGTTCTGACCACCTGGGTATGATTTGTAGCCTGGACCCTGCAGGCAGCCACCTACATTATTAAAAAGTAGTTAGGACGAATGAGGCTTCTGTGAAGGGATTGTGAAATTGAACCCTTGACATAGGGGATCCTTGTCATCTGATTTCAGATATGTCAGAGCAAGTTACCTCAGCATTCAAAGTGCAGGAGTTATTTGAGGGGCTTTTTGGGGTTTTTTTTTTAATGGCCTAGAAAGACAAAGTGATGTTTGTGTTTCATTCTACCATACATTTGGGTTCCATTTTAGTTTCTGGATTGCATTGGGTTCACTGGAGCACCTGTCTGCTTAGAGAAGGGCAGTTGTGCAAAAATAAGTATGGAAACACATCCGCAGTTTTAAGGTGTATTTACTTTTGAGAATTTTTTTTTGGTGCTGCTGTTTTTTATTTTTGTTCTCTTAGATGTGACATAGTACTCTGATTTCCATCATTAAAGTGTACCTAAGTACTCTGTTTCCTTATACTCTGCATTTAATCCTATGTTTTTCCTTTTGCAACTGCCTGGCATAGTAGGTCTGACTCATTGAAGATAATAATTTTTTGCTACTTTTAAAAATATTTATTACCATTAAAAGGCGGTAGGATTACGAATCATTAAATATAGCACAAGATTTTTTACAAATTTATTTTATAGCCCAAATTCAAACAACCAATGTTCCTTGTCCTTTTAATATATTTTTAATAATCTGCTCTCCTATTTCTTGCATTTCAGAGGAGGTGTATGTTTACCTCCAGGGAGATGGAATATTGGCCCTGGGATGTTAAAAGCCACAGGTGTTTGTAGTGATACTTGAGCCTGGGTTTGTGTGTTTGAATTAGGCCTAAATTGGCACTGATGCAGAGAAACTTATTTCTGAGGGCAGCTTATTTCCTTATGCATAATTCATATCTCCATTCATTTCATCCCATTGCAATTATTAGTGTGTCTGCTACGGGAGCTGACATTTCTGTGCATTTGCAACAAGCAGGTCCAGCTGAATTTCCACAGCCGTAAATATTTTGGCCATTAGCCTGTCACGTTCCCTGCTCCTATGTGCTGAGAAATCCCTGTGGGATAGCTCAGATAGATGTGCTGTACCCAAATTTCTTGTTTCAAGTGTTAGACTTGTCCTCCTTGGTTTCTGTAAGCAGGATGTGGCTGTTTGAGTCACAAATAAGAAAAATTACGTTCAGCATCTGGGAATGTTGGAAGGGCTCTGACCGTGTTTTCTTTCCTTGCAGGGCAAGAAGAATGGACCAACTCACGACACAAGACACCTTCTGCAAGGACAACAAAAGGAGTCTACAGAGACCAGCCATATGCCAGATACTGATTGTACTGTCTGATGTTGTGAAATATCCAATCTCCACCAGTCCTGTATACTGTTCAAAGTAATTTTTTCTATGAACAATCCCTTTTTATTAACTCAAAGTGCATAAAAAATCTGAATGGATGGACTGAACTTAAAACATTTTGTTGAAAGAACAACCTGGACAGAAAGATATGTAAAACAAGGAACTTTGTTATTTCCAAACTGTGTTTGAAAAAATAGGTGATCAAAAAAATAACCTTTGATTAACTAGTGTTAAACAAAAAATAGGTTTACTAAATACGTTAGTCCATTCTTTTTAACATAAGCGTAACCTTTTATTTTAAAGGTTTTCAACAATTTAGTTTTTAGCTTTTATTTTCAGCCATTTGCTAGATTTTCTCTTTGCAAACATGCGTAAAAAGGGAAGCAAACTACAAATGCGAATAATGTGGTATTTTGTAACTCAAGTCTTGAAATGTTCTGTAGTGTTAAGCAAAGTTTTACCCTTGCTTGATACTAAATAAACTTTTGAAAGAAAATCAGTGTGTGTGAGATTAATTTTATGCTTTATCTTATAATAAAACTTCATAAATAGTAGTAAACAGGGAGAAATGTTTAACAGTGATCAGCATAAAAGGCTCATATTAAATATTGTGCAACTTCTTTTAAAACAAAATGGTTTAAACCTAAATGTATCTCTCTATATACTCACAGTAGATATAAATGCTGTTTAAAATATCCAAATGGTATGGATCTGCTTGAGTGCCACATTAAATCAAAATACTTTTGTTAAAAAAATGGTTTAAAATAGCGAATGAATTTTCTGGAAAAAGATGTGACTAGTTTTCACCTTGTTGAGCATTTTTTCACTAGTGCAACTTTGGAATTTTTATGAGAATTTTGGTACGTTAATGACCACCTCGCTCCGTGCTGGAAGCAATAAACACAAAGCTTTTAAAGACTTTCTGACTTGACTAATTGAGGTCGCTTTCGCCAGAGGCAGAGGATGTGTAACCCTTAAAACGGTCTTCATTTGCAAAGGTAAATAAATCAAATAAGATTTTAATCTCACTTAAGTTATCTTAATATAACCAATAAAAACAGGGAGGCTACAACTTAGAAAGTTTCATTTTAGAATGTAGGAAAGACTTGTGAGGACACCTAAATTCTCATTTTAAAATTTTAATTTGTATTAGTCATCTAAAAAGCCTTAGCTTAGCTAGTTAAATTTGGACAAACTATTCCCTATTAAACAACTGTAAAACCTCATAACCAATAGTTTGTAATATATTATTTTTCCATAAATTCTGGTAACTTAAACATTGCAAATGTTATCTAAAGCTTTTTTTTTAAGCATTGTTTCTATTACTTATAGTTCGATTTATGTTGTTTTCTTTAGTTTTTATTTGAAATTCTTTGAAATTTAGTAAAAAAATCTTTTTTTTCTTTCTTGTCAGGAAACTCACCTCCTTGGACAGCCAAAAGAACAAAAACCCTAATCTTCTGATGCTTTGGTAGGTATCTTTACTCATCTGTGAAATAATTAGATTGATAGTGGAACTTTTAATCAGATCCTTAATTCTGCACAAAGCTTTAAGTTAGGTGTCACTCTCTGTGTTCAGTTTTGATTGGAAAAGTACTAGTTTTAAATTTTCATTAATCAGGACCTTAAGCTGTCACTGTGGGTGGATGCTCCTCTGGCAGTTTATTGAAGGGTGTGCATGCCTTTGAGAGCATGTCAAACAATGTTTGATTGGACAGAGGAAGCTGAAGAAACCAAATGTAATTTGATGCTTTCAAATAGGAATTTAGAACTCTAATCTGATCAGCAAACTTGTCTAAAATATGAAAAATACATTTTGTAAACTGATTTTCAAAGTCAAGCATTTCTGCACAAGTAGCAGACTGATTTATGGCATTAATTGAAGGAGAACAAATCCATTAAGAAACATTAGCTAAAGAATAGCTGGCTCTACTGTTTCTGGTCAATTCAATATATAAAGTAAGAAATAATTTAACTGTATTTGTGCTCAGCTGGTGTACATTTTAAATAAAACAGGTTTTTTTTCTACTTGAAATGGTAATTCTTCCTGCTAACTTCACGATCTCAGTGCTTTTAGTTGACAAGGCTCATATAAATAGAGCTCTATACTGTGAAATATTGCATAAGTTGCACTGCCTCTGTGTACTGTAGTAAATTTAAGAGGCTGCTATCACAGGCTAAAGGAACCTTTTGTACCTACAAAATGGCTTTAGAACTGTTCTGACCGTTTTAAGGGCTTAAATCAAAGGACTCTTTAGAGTAGGAGAGCTTGAAGAAGATTTCTCCCCTTTGGGGCTCAGAGGGCAAAGATTTAATACCAGCTGCTAGAACTGCTATGGCAAAACTGAATATTTATATATCTTTTAAAAATATTTATAACAATTGGCGCAATCTCTCCTTCTGGTCACATCCTAAATCACATAATATGATGAGTTACATAGGAAGTGTTAATCTGCAAACATCATGTATTATATTAAATAGACAGAATGAAACTAAAATACCTAGTAACAAGGGGGGCTAGTAGATAAATAAGTGAATCAGAAGTAGATTCAGTGTTCTGTAGTATTTATCCAACTCTCCTTTATTTAATGCCCTATTTTCTTACTGCCTCCAGTGTGGAGGATGAATGTGTGATCAGCATGTGTGATTCTCTGCTACCTACCCTGATGTCCTAAAGAAGCTTAAATAGTTTTAGGTTCCCTTTGAGGTGGAAAAGTGTGTCTCTGATAATAGAGTCTCTAAGTGCACCATTGGATGATAAACATATGAATTAAGTCTTCCTTCTTCCAATGCTCTACATTGATACATCTTATTTCTCCTAAGAAAATGTGTTTTCATGCATCTTAAAAGAAAACTGTTGTATCAAATCTCATGTCCTATGCATGCAAAATAAACTGCACCAGTTCAAACAAATGGTATTGGATATTCTTCAAAACTGTACTTTTGTAGTGCAAAACTTACCTTGGCATTTCCTCAAATTACATTCATTAGCATTGTTCTAGTATTGCATTTCTCTTGTGGGTATTTGTTTTTTGTGTGGAGTAATCTCTTAAATTAAATCCATTTGATTTTGAGCAGAGGGGAAAATAATCTAAAAAGGCCTCCACATGAAAGAAAACCAATGTAGAAGGCAACCTTTCTTCCATTGTGACAAACTTAAAAGTGTATTCATTCTAGTAGAGTTCTGCACTCTAACATTGGACTGTTACTCTATGTTACTGTTAAAAACAGTAATGTTAATTGTCCTAATTAGTCATATCACTAATTTGCCTTTATTGAATCTTTTTATAAAATTTCCACTGAATTTCAATGATAGCAGTTTCTGCAATGCTTGCCTAGATCTATATATATTTATTATATGCATAATTGTCTAATTCCTCTACTTACAGTCTGACAGGCTTCAGAGAATTCATGATCTCTAGTCTCAAGATATATACAAATAAAATGTATTTTGCTGTTTTTCAGGAACTTCTGCCATGTTAATTATGGACTGCTTAGAGCACTGTACTTACCTCTGTGCTCAGACACTGATGAGACCGAGTATGAAAATCCTGCTCAGCATTTCTTGTATGAAAGCCTTAAAGTGTATAACAGCATACACTTTTTAAAATAATTGTATATTGGAACTCTTAACTGTATAGTGATGCAGCAATGTTTTATTTGGAACTCAATAAAGAATTTCCATCTAAGTTCCTGTTACAAAGCAATAATGCAACCTCCCATTCTTCAGTGACTCTTTTCTGCCTTATGCAGCAAGTGTCAGAGAGTGTGTGAAGTCTCATGACTAGAACCTAAATGCTTTTGGAAATCGTTTGTCTAATGTATGAACAACATGGATAAGTTAAAATGAAGATTGGTGTTTTCTGCTGAAGCTTTTTTTAATAGCTAATTGTAAACAAGTCTGCTCCAGACAAGACTCTTGGGTAGAAATAATGCTCCAACTTCCATTTCCTTCAAAAACTTGTATAACAAGAAGGTGTTTAATCCCTGTCACTTATTATATCAATAAGAAGCAATACCTGCTGCTTATTCTCTTTCACTTGGTGTTTGATGCATAGAAATCGTTTCTCTAATACACAGTCACAGGTTTTCTAGTAGTAGTCTTGGATGAGGCTTTTACACCTTGATAAATCTTGTATCCAACAGTCATGTTTCCTCAGTGCTTTCTGTTTTATATTAATTGTGATTGTGATAATTTGTAACAGAAATAAAGTTCTGATAATTTATTTCCTTGTGTTCTTTTTCACAAATACTGCTTGCAGAGCATGTGTGCCCCATTTATCAATTATGGTTCTATCACAGATGCATTTTTATTCACTGAATCTCAATTTATTGCCAACAAAAGCGTAATTTGGTTCTGTGTTGTTGCCGCTTTGAACATAAACAATACCAGTTGTCAGTTTCACACCAAAATGCTGCCTCTTCAACAGGTTTTCATAACTTCTAATTCTGTATACTGACTACTGAAAAATAGCTTTGAAGTTGTGGGGATGTGGATAAAAAATAAGATTTCCTATTAACTGTGGCACCAATCAAATTATCTTGAGTAAGGCAGTTTTTAATAGACTTAGGAAACTGACCATTAAAAAAAGTCTGTATTTTTAACCTCTGAATATTTAAGGTGATTCTGTCGGTTAATTTCACAATCTGGAAAGGTTTTCCCTGCCTTCATCTCTCACTGTGCTAAAACTGCATTTCTAAACTGTTTTCTACAGCCAGCAGTAGTAATTATTTAAATAAGTGAAAGCAAAATCAAGAAAAAAAACTTCTTTGAATAAGCACAAGAGATGTATAATAATGATTCCTTCAGACTGACAGGCAGCAGCCTGTGGTGTGGAACAGCACCTGACATTTTAAATGCAGGCCAAGTATAAAAACTGTATATAGATACTGTGTGGGGAATTTAGATAAGCAGAATGCAATTTCACTTTCTGTAATTTGGACACCAGGACTGCAAGCACAAGCTCATTTGGGGAGTGCTATGAACTGCTCAAGGAGTGAAGTATCACCTTCCACTCTGGAGTCATGAACAACGGGGCTGCTTAATGGCAATACTAAAACATTTCACTAGTGTGGCTTACGTGACTCTCAGGCTGTCTAGCAAATGTGGTTTTCCTGGGGTCTTGTCTGATTGCTGAGTGGCCTGACAGGAACCACTGGGGTTGGTCAAAGTGGGCTGGCTGTGGCCATCCAGATGTTGGGGTTGCAAGTACTTTGCTTTGTTTCACTAAGAGTTTAAGGACTGGCTGTCTCTGCCCTTTGCATCCTGGACTTCAGGCCAGGTAAAGATTTGAGTTCTTGTGATTGTGTTTTGAGTGAAATCTGGGTCTCACTTCAAGAGCATGTGTGCTGCCTCAGTGATGTTACACTCTGGGACAGTCCTCTGTTCTCAGGTGCCAGTTCTAGGTGACATCAATTTACTTCAAAGGTTTTGAGTAAGGACATGAACCTGCTGCTTCAAATTAGTTGTCCAGTCTGCATCACAGCCTTTCCCAT